AAAAAAAGGACAAATACACACACTGATAATGAACGGTAACAGATTGATCAAACTTACTTTGATACCAAATTAAAAATAAACGGATGAACAAATGAAATATAATTATGAACGTTATATTATTAAACGAGATTGTCAAGACGGCTACAACTGAATGACTACATCTTCACGGACTTATTTCATACTAAATTATAAGTTATATTATAGAGAATAAAATATAAGAAATTCTAATTCAGATGGGCTAGGCCCAAATAGTAAACTAACAAGCAAACCCATATATATATATATATTTAATAACCATAAAATACTAATATTTTTCAAATGTTTCCAGGATGGTGTTATGATTGGAATTCCTTGTTATTTTAATTTTCAACATACCTCTACTGTCAAAATTGGTCCTGCTTCTTGTCTAAAAGTGATGATTGTTTAATGTTTACACAAATAAGCCATTTTTATTGCCAAACAAATCATAGTTGAATATGTGAACATAATTTATGTGATTTTAATAAGTTATTCTTGTATAATGTGATCCGTAAGTAGAAAGATATATTGCTCGCAAGAAGTACTGTTAGTCAATATTTTACAGAGGATGAGGTGACTAGCTACATCGACACGAGTTTAGATTTGTTGTGTCCAAATACTCTGTCTATCTTATGACCATGTTTTCCTTTCAACACTTGTCTTTATAGATAACTTTAAGATAACATCACATTTTAGGCAAGAAGAATGCAAGTTAAAAGAACATGTGTCAAAAGAAGAACATGATCACAAGCTGGACAAAGGGTATTTGTGCGCTACATATGTGGAGTCCATCGACATAGCGTGAAACCGAAAGAAGACAAGCCCACGACGTGAGAACCTTGTGCGGGACAAGGACGCTGCCTTGATTTACTGTTTGTTCATCATTAGGCCCGGGGAGGATTTCTCTCTTTCCATGTTTCTTCAATTCGTTAGGGTGTATTTTAAACATGAGATAAAAATAAAACTAAGAATAGAATCCGAACTTTTTTATGTTTAGTGTAGCAGAAGTTTCCTTTTGAACTGTAAAACATATCTTTAAGTCACATGCATTATTCCTTTCGAGTCATACAGGGAACCTTCTATTGGAGATTAAAGGAGTTCTTGCTTTTCATGGTTAAATTATTCCTTAGATAAGAAATTGTTTAAGTACTTTATTGGATTAAGGCATATAAAAGAAACAAATTGAGCTAATTCCCCACTCAATGCACAACCGCTCAATTAAAAGTCAATATCATTTTTTGTCTACTACCAATACCTGCTGCTGTTAGAGAAGGGGTCCTGCCAAAGGAAATTGTATCTCTTAAAGTTTAGGAATTAATATTGTAAGCGGATTTTGATTGTGTTCTTGATTTGTAGAGATCTTTACTTATGCGTCAAATACACACGATTGTATATATAAGCTTTTGTGTTATGAATGTAATTAACAAGATTATAATTCATACATGGTATCAGAGTGTTTATAGTAGCTCGCTCACACAATTAATCATCTAACCTATTTCTATAAGGCTCAAAGATTGTTGAGGTTTTGGCACTATATTCGAACTTTCATAGAACATTAATAGTAGTTATATGAAAGAATTCCATGGTCCCTTTCATAATACATGAATACATGAAGATATTTAAGCAGATATAAACATAAATTTATTTAGATGAAGCCGAAACCTGTGTGACATATGTTGTGGATAATTACAGTTTTTTATTTTATTTTTATTTATCAATGTCCAGAGTTTAGGTTGAGTTTGGTGTGTATTAGTGATGAACGGTAGTTTGGGAGGATAGGGGTGTATTTTTCTAGAAAGAATTTAAATTTAAATTGTTTAATGGAGTGTAGAGAGAAATATGATGAATTTAGATAAGATGTTGTGTTTAAATAAAAGAAGGCAGATTCTCTGTCCTCTCACTTCTCGTGCTCTTTAGTGTCTTTCTGTTTGTATGGTCACGGTTAAACTATGTCAACATTTTATACTACTATTCATTTTTATCTTATTATCTCTATAAAAAATAATATAAAATATTGATGTGACTTAACTATGACCACATAAAACAAAAGCACGAAAGGGTACGGAAAGTGAGAGAGCAGAAAATCTGCTTCCTAAATAAAAAGCATGTTAACCAATTAAGCTAGAAATCCTTTACAGCCAAAATAAATCTTAAAGCTCACCATTTGTTATTTTCGTTTGAAAGTGAAAGTGTCACTGTTTGTTGGCACATAAAACAAAGGCACAAAAGAGTACGGAAAGAGAGCAAAAAATCTACCTCCTAAATAAAAAACCTGTTAACCAATTAAGGTTGAAATTTCTTGGAGCCAAAATAAATCTTAAAGCTCACCATTTGTCTTTTTCGTTTGAAAGTGGAAGTGTCACTTTGACTGTCAGTACACACATTTGGAGACGTGTTGCTGCATCACGTGGAGGATTCATCCAACAAAAGATCTACAGTGCAATAAAAACAAGGTTTTGGTAAAGTTGAATAGTAATTCTTTTAAGTGAAACAAAGCAAAAGTGTTGTGCCAACAAAAATAATTTAACAAGGTTTGGTAGTAATTCTTCTAAGTCGAATAGTAATTCTTCTAAGTGAAACAAAGCAAAAGTGATGTGCCAACAAAAAGAATTCAACAAGATTTTGGTGAAGTCGAATAGTAATTCATCTAAGTGAAACAAAGCAAAAAGTGATGTGCCATATATATATATATATATATATATATATCTAAAGTCCTTTACAAGAAGTTAAACATGTAGTTCCTCTAATGTCCAAGCATATTTCACTTTCCATGTGCATGGGCGGTCAAAAGAAGCAGACGTGAACGCCGAATTGGGATAATGTGCCAAAGCCAAAGTGTTGAGCAAGGTGATATATTTTGTGACTATCACAACATGCAGAAAACCAATCAGAACATGCCACGCATGCATGGAGGACACGTCCAGGTCCATCCCCTCAGATTCCAACCACTCTTCCCCTCCCATCGTACAAATTCCCACATGGGGACATGAGAAGAAGGAACCTTCTAGTACCATGAGATGCCAACAGGTAATATATATATATATATATATATATATATATATATGGAGGATGCTTTGGATGCGATGCTTAATCATTAGTGTACATTGATTGAAATCATATTAGTTTTTAGATTTTGATTAAAGTCCTTTGATTTTGTATACATCAGAATATTAGCATTAATCAATTTTCATGTCAACTATTTAAATTAAGCATATATTAAATATTGTAATATAGACATCCTTTAAAGATTTTTTTTTTGTCTGAACATTTAAAGCAATTAAATAAAATAAGTTACCACATTTATGAGATATAAAATCCCATAAGATTTGAACTTTAACGTTTATGGGATTAAACAACAAACTCCACCCTTAGAAAAAAATTGGTTTTTTTAATTGAATGTCATGATAAAAGATAAATGTTTCCATAATTAAGAATGTACCCATGTACAATTATAGTAATTCAAAAGAATGCATCCATATACAATTTCAACATTAAAATCCATATGTGACAACAACAAGAAAAACAATATACCCATTTAAATTCTTAATGTAAAAAATGATTAAAGGATAGAAAAATGGAAGCAAACCATAAGACCAAATTACTTAAGGCTACATACTAAATAAATCTTATAGGAAAAAAAGTTATACATATATGGGTACACAAAATTTAGAAGAGAAAGTTACAATGGTAGTATAGAATAAAAGTTGGGTACATGGATTAAGGAACAAGAGAAGAGAATGTAGCCAATGAAATTAAAATTGCATTCAGAGCAATATAATGTTCATTTGTTATGATTTTGCAATATGATGGTCATGGAGAAAAAATAAGTTTGAAATTTTTTTCGTGAAATTTAAATTTGAAGATACATATTCAATATAATAATGTTGAATTTGAATATAAGCATAAATTTAAGTGAGAGAATTTTGGGATTTTCAATTACAAACGTGATAATGTGGGACAAATTATAAATTAAAATTTGTTGTAAAAAAAAAAAAAAGATGACATGGAAGTATTTGAATAGTAAAATGCTAAGGTGTACAAAGTCAAGAAGTCAACGGACTTTGATCAAAAACTGAAAACCAATAAGGTTTTAATTTATGAACATTGGTGACTAGGGATTGGATTCTAATTTTTCCTATATATATATAGCCCTTTATGCACAGGGATTTCTATTTTTTTAACAGGGAATTAGGTGTCCGGTTCACTCTACATCAAATTTCAACAATCCAAATTATCTATTTTGTAAGTCTCGATTCATAAATCATCCTTACAAAAATTCAATTCAATTTGAAACTATTTGCCTATTTTATTATCAAGATAAAATTTTATTGTTTCTTTTTATTATATTACAAAGTATTCGTTAATTTCTTTGAACACAATTAGATGTCTTAAACATTTCCAATTTGGCTAATATTTTGCAATGATTATGAGATGCAACTTAAAAAATAGACAGTTCGGATCGTTAAAGTTTGATGTAGTATGTACCCCACAACTAATTCCCGTTTCTATAAAAAAAATGAGAATCCATTCCCTTAAAGATTATATATATAATCAGGAGATATATAAACAGGAGAGCTTGATAGAAATGCAAAATTCTTTGTGAATATTTTTACTTTTATTGCACGTACCATCCTACAACTATATATATGAACATCACACACTCTTTCCATATACTTCTCTGAAATAAAATTAAACATTGGGCCTACGTGTCTCATCCTCCTCTCTTAAGAACAGAAAATACACTTGAATTATTCAGTTCAATTCTCGTCTCATTCTTCTTATGATTCAAAAACAACCTGGAACAGAGTTTGATTCTCATCCCCTTCTCATGCAAATCCAAATACCCTAGAAACAAAGTTCAATCCTCCCCCCAATAGGTCGGTGTGCCAGAAACTCATCATGGAGAAAGAAATACTACCTAAACATTAGTGACCATTGTCTGTCAAGTCTAGAAATCCAAATACCCTAGAAACAAAGTTCAATCCTCCCCCCAATAGGTCGGTGTGCCAGAAACTCATCATGGAGAAAGAAATACTACCTAAACATTAGTGACCATTGTCTGTCAAGTCTAGAAACCCAAGCGGTCAATTCTTGTCATCATCTTCCTCAAACTCATTACCCTAGAAACAAAGTTTGATTCTCACTCTTCTCTTCCTACGAATCAAAATACTATAGAAATAGAGTTTAATTCTCGTCTTCCTCTTCCTCCCGATCACAATGGATTTGATGAGTTGCTGGAATGCGAGCACAAGTGACTACTCAACAATGAATGGAGCAAACGGTGCAAGTTCAAACAAGTTGCCTTCTTCAAGGTACAAAGGAGTAGTGCCACAGTCAAATGGCAGGTGGGGAGCTCAAATATACGAGAAGAGTCATCGTGTATGGTTGGGAACCTTCAATGAAGAAGAAGAAGCTGCTAAAACCTACAACATTGCCTTACTAAAGTTCCGGGGTCTTGATGCCATCACACACTTCAGTCGAAGCCAAATGAAACCCTACGGACCTGATGTCACGGAGGCTCTTTTCTTGGAATACCATTCCAAGGCTGAAATCGTTGACATGCTTCGAAAACATTCTTATGCCAACGAGCTCGAGATGTACAAGCATAAGTTGCACAATGGTGGTGCTCTAGGCCTTGACGATGGTGGAAAGCGTACGAAGTGTTACCTTGATTTAATGGACACGTGTAGTCGCGACAGGGAGTTGCTTTTCGAGAAAGTGGCAACACCAAGCGACGTAGGGAGATTGAACCGCATGGTTATACCAAAACAACATGCCGAGAAGCATTTTGAGGTTCATCTGAGTGTAGGGTTTGGTAAAGGGGTGTTGTTGAAATTTGAGGATGAGTTGGGGAAGGTGTGGAGGTTTGGGTACTGTTATTGGAGTAGTAGTCAGAGTTATGTGTTGAGCAAAGGGTGGATTCGTTTTGTGAAGGAGAAGAAGCTGAAAGCTGGTGATGTTGTGAGGTTTCAGAAATCGGTAGGGGAGGATAAGAAGCTGTTCATTGAGTGTAGACCTAGAAAAGTTGACGTTTCGGGGATCGAGGAGATGCATGGCAGGGTTGCTGACCCTTTAGCGACGGTTCAAGATGATGGAGTGGTGAGGTTGTTCGGAGTTAACATATCATGAAAACATGTGCATTATAGAGAATAGCAGGTGTTGGAGGCTTGGACCATGTTCAATAAGTTAAAAGTCAACCTTTTATTTTCTTTTTCTTTTTGCTTGATAAAGAGAGAGCCTTCTCTTGCAGTGTGTGCAATTAGAATAATTATATGACAAAGCTCGTGGCATATAGAACGATTGGGTAATTTTCAAGTTTAATAAAAGAACGAGAATATCTTAATCCCATCGTTCTGTAACCAAATGACAGGCCATCGTTTTGTAAATTTAAGGGGAACGTTATATAAACGCACAAAACTGTACTTACTCACAAAATCTTTAATGTAAGTGAGTAGTAGAGTTCATTTGTATTAATTAGACAGTGTGTAAAAAATATGATAATATTTGTTTATTTAAATAGAATTATTGTAAATTTCTTTCATCTTCCACTACTTGCATATTTTTCTCCTTTAAAAAAATAAAATTACTAAAAGAATTTGAGCAAATACGAAAAACAATGATTCAAACTTTAGCCTTGACAAGCCACCTACTACAGTCTAGTGATATTTATTTTTCATTTATAACTGAGGTTTTTTGTTCGACTCTTGTGAATGGCGATTTTCGTGCCAAATTATTATATGGTTGACCTATTATATGGATTAGCCCAAATGATCTCTTAGTGTAAATATATCGCTGAATTCAAAAACTTCATCTGTAACATAAGACAATATTCTAAGGAGGCATTCCTTTTTCAACATAAACTTGACATTATTTTATTGTACAAACGTCATAAATGGAACCAATCATTTTCTTTAGCTCATTGAAAGATCCTCTCCATAAAAATTCATAGATTTGGAGACCATTTAAGCATCCATATGTACAAGTAAATCGATAATTATGATAACAAGTAACATCCTTGAATGAATGGCTAAAGATCGTACGATTGAACGGTTGACAAATTAGTAAATTTTTTAAAGACGACCTTTAAATGATGATAAATAGAATAAATGATTTTGATTTGAGAAGCAAAATAATGCTACATAATCACTAAGGGATGAATGACTCCTTACAAAGGAGAAAAAAGATGAATGACTTATTACAAAGGAGAAAAAATCCTTTCTTTTTCACGCAAGTAATTTGACAGGATAACTTACCAATCTAAATCAATAGCTACTTTAACGTACTATTTTGTATTTGTTATGCTATCACTCTCGTGACTTTAGGTACGCTAGAGGTATTTAACATCATTGCATAAATGATTTAGGGAATAAACACATGACCTCGATGTTAAAAAACAAAATCAGATTGCATCATACCATTTTTTCTTGTTCAGTGTTGTTTAAGATGAGTATAGATATTTATTTATATGTTATATAATAAAAAAATTTGTCTAGGCCGGTCTAGACGCTAGACCCCTATCCTCTGAAAAATTTTCTAATGTGCCTGAAATGCAAACACATACGTCATATGTCATTATACAAATGGATTAGTATCGTTGACATCTTATGACTAATAAGCATAAGAAGAAGTATTAATAAGTATACACATATTACGGCATAAGTGCATTAGTATTACATTCCCTACATAGATTTTAGATTGCTCAATTATTTTTCTTGAAGTTCATTGTAATAACCAGTGTTCTAAAAATCGGCCTAGGCGCTCGGCGGTGGAGTCCCAATCCGATTTGGGCTAAATCGTTCAGGTAAGGTGGCAAGGATTTAGGCGGCTGCCTAGGTGTCTCTAGGCGCTCAAGGCGGCCTAGGCGGCGGTCGATGCTCTGCAAATCTCCCTTCTCATCCGCACGATCCACAACCCACAACCCAAATCTTCAAACCTGCGCTGTTGCACCCAACATCAATCGATGAACCTAAGTAGATTGAGAATATACAGGGATGAACAATACACATAATCCGTCTGATGGGTTACTACAGAGAGAGAAGGGGATTTGTTGAAGAGATATGTTCGTTCTGTTGAAGAGAGAGAGAGAGAGAGAGAGAGAGAGAGAGAGAGAGAGAGAGAGAGATAGTCGAAAGAAAAACTGAAAATGGGAGGAAAAGAAAGGCATAACTAAAGACTAAAGAAAGAGTGACAAAAAAAAGACTAAAGAGAGAGAAGGGGATCTCTCTGTAGAGAGAGAAAGAAGAGGAGATATGTTGATAATAAATGCAAGCCTAGAGCCACTAAACAAGTGATGGTTGATTGGGACTAGCATTGGAGAAACCGGAAAAGCTGTCAGTTTAATTGAAAAAAAGGCTTTTCTTTCAAGTTGGGTCCATTGTGGCCCACTATTTTGTTCAAATAAAAAACAAACTAGGCCCAATATTCTTTGTATAAAATTAGAAAAAAAAAAGTCCTAAAATTATACACATATACTCATATTTTATAATATATAGTGTAAATTTATGTAAATCCGCCTAGGCGTCGCTTAGCCGCTAGGCGCTAGTCCACTGCCCGACTAGCATCTAGCGTTTTTTAGAACCGTTGGTAATAACTAGGCAATTCCGTTCTTGTTTTCATGGATTAATTCCTTAGATAAGAAATTGTTCAAGTCCTTTTATCGCTGAAGGCTTATAAAAGAACCAAATGGAGCTAATTTTGTACTCGATGCACAACCACACTCAATTAGAAGTCAATATCGATTTAGGCGCAATCTCATCCAACATGTCTACTACCAATACCTAGTAGTGGTTTGCTCACACAATCAATCATTTGACCTACTTCCAAGGCTAAGGAGATTTTAGGAGTAAACACATATAAATATTTTTTATATAACTAAAGCTTGGTAACAATAATGAGTAATTAACAATGCACAATATTATTCAACATGTTGTGAGTAGCATTTTAATAGGAATATGATTGTGTAAATTTAAGTATAAATCCAATAAAATTTGGGATATCAAATCCTTATACGCTTGTATATTTGCAGGGCAAACAAACTCATCATGATTAATATATGTAAAGGTATAAGGTCAATGGACAAAACACATTATGAGAAACAGCTGAGCCCATCAAAATCTCGACGAACATTCTTGAAAGTGCTCATCATCCAACTAATTATAAACCTAATTTATGTTTTGTGAATTATATTTTGCAATGATTATTGTGATTCAATATATGAATTACTTGAGATATGTTTGGGAAAATATTGAAAAGAATAGAAAATAGTGGATTTTACCCAAAGCTCTGAGCCGCGGCTACGCCGAGCCAAGCCGTGAAGCCATTATCGTCCAATACCCTAATCCCAGGTGAACGACATGTCTCCTTCCTTCAAACCTGACCGCGCCACGCTCTGCCCTCGCCTAAAGTTGAGTGGCCACGAGGCTGCAAAAATCTGAAGAATTTAAATCTAAACTACTTGACGTAAAAAACCTGAGATATATTGAGGTACATTTAATCATGAGACCAAGTTTAGAACTTCTCTTAATGAAACAATAAAATGCTTATAAAGACAAGACATGAGTTTTTTTCTTCCTGTAGCTAGAGACATGTTTTGGAATCACTGCATAGAGAGACAATTCAATTATTTGTTAATTACATGTTGGTTGTCATAGCTTTTGTTGTTGCCAAAAGACCAAAAAAGTTATTTTCAATGACCTAGTGAGACATGATAATTTTATAAAAATCCCATGAGACAAGTTTACTTCTGATTTATATTTGAGAAAATAACAAAGTTAAGAAGAAGGGTGGTGCTATTCACACATCTATTTTTACTTTCTACACATCCCTGTTGATTTCTATTCTTCAATGTTTTTGAATTCATTTTATCCAACGGTCAGAAATTGTAAGAGCATGTTGGAAGTAAAAATGAGTATGTGGATAACACACTCCCTAGAAGAATAAGTAATGAACTCTACGCATGAATGAATTCTATTAGCAAACTGCAGCTTAAGGAACTGCATATTCTTCAAATATCACACCACAATAATCTTCCAAAAGAGATTTGTTATATGTATAAAGTGTCAAACACCCTCCACGAGATTTGTTCTATGTATAAAGTGTCAAATATCCTTTAACTACGACAATCTTACACGAGAGATTTGTTTTATGTATAAAGTGTCAAATGTCATTGTCAATGCCATAGTATGTTATGAATATCAAGATTTCAAATCTTCTGCTCTAGGCAATGTTTATTCCGTCATGAGGAGAGATTTTCCCAAATAACGAGTATTCAAGTGGTACTCTACATGTCATTTCACAATACCAGTAGAGATACATCGCTAAGTGAATTTGTTGATTATATTCAAACAGAGATCGGCTACACTGAAAAGCTTATATATGTCCGTCCATCTCAATGGTGAGCAGGAGGGCCGCAGTGATCTCCATCTTGGTCCCAAATTAGTTGGGGTTGGAATGACGATTAATTCTTTCTTCTTCCAAATGTTACAGGTGCTTGATGTCTGAAATCGATAATGAAAATAGAGATAGGGAAAGGTTTCTTCGCATCACCTACAGTGGAGAGGAGAGAGGCAATTAAGTCTGAGAATGCATGTTGTGGAAGCTTTGTAATAGTCAACGTTTAAAATATCGGTATTAGTGGAATATTGATAAGCAAATTTGTGAAAGTATAAACAGATATATCGAATATTGATATCAGTATTGGTTGCTTTCAATGGAAAAAATAAAAATTCAAAATAAAACTTTAGGGATTATCAAACATTGATTTGGACGAAATATAAGAGTTTCTCCGATTTTAACATGTGTAAGAAATAGTGACAATATTTATCGAATTTAGCCTAAACTTAAGAGTGTCTTCGATACGAGGTGAAGTCCCTATTTTCATATTTTTCTGTTATCTTTTGAATATTTCTATAAAAAAAAAATATCTGACTCCATCAAGGAAAATTTAATCAAAGGCTCAATGAATTTGGGCTTGGACTGGTATATTTTTTAATCTTTGTTTTTATAGGTAAAAGATTATAAAAGCTCCCCATATGAATAAGTCTAATGAATTTCCCAATTTATTTTGTCAGTCAACTCCCGGTCCCGAGCCCAAAGAAAAATATAACTCCTTGAGGGCATCTCTAATGGTTGGGCTAAAAACCAAATATTTTAGCCCGAAAAATTTAGCTTTTAGACCAAAAACAACTTTTCAACTCCAACTGTTTTAGCCTAAAATTTTAGCCTAGGATTATTAATAAATAAATTTAGGCTTTTTTTTTTTGTTAAATTAATTTTTTTAAATAAATATGTAGACTGTCGTAAATTAATTTTATGAACATTTTAATCTAAAAAAATTTAAATTTCGATAAATATTGGATGAAATGCACTCTGATTTTTGGGCTAAATTTTGAGGGAATTTGGTCTTGGTTTAGCATTTAGCCCAAATTTTCTCCTTGGGTTGGAGTGGCTTTGGGGGGAAATTTTGGACAATAATTTGGCTTTTAGCCCACCATTGGAATTGATCTTAGGATCAATAAGAATGTTCGGGCAGCCCAACATAAATTAACTACTCAATTGGCCCAAACATCTAGAGTGGTATTTAAAGTTATAATTTTGGGGCACTTTCATATATGGGTTAAGGTTATTATTAAATATACCGTTAGTTGGTAAAGTGGCACCTATGCAGACAATGACTGAGCACCATGTGAACATTAAAATGTTAAAAGAGTATAATTTTAAATTTGTTTTATATTTTTTAAAAATTTTATCTTTTAATATCCACGTTAGCCCCATATTGACAAGTGGTTCCCAGTTATTGTCTACGTGGGTACTACATCACTAATTAATGGGAGATTTAACAGCAATCTTAATAAATGTATAAATGTGTCCTAAAATTATGACTTCAGGTATCGCTCTGAAATATAAAAATAAAAATAAAAAACTTAATTTACCAAATGTTGAAAACCAAAAAACTGAAAGGTAGTACACTGAGATTAACCTTAATTATTAATACTACTTTGAGAAAAGAATAGCGTATATTGAGTTAAATAGACAATTGTACAGGTTGGTGCTTATTTTATTTATTTTTAATAGGAGGTTGATGCTCAATTATTAGTGTTGAATTATTATGTTATTTCCCAAATTCAATATTCTTTTATAATATAATTAAAATCGTGTGGAGAAACAAATAAAACGAAAGTAATATTATAATTACTTTAATTTTCTTATCATAATCTAAAAGTTATATCTAAAAACTTTTATTTAAAGAATATTTTTTGTCACTAATAACAGAAAAAAGAGAAGGAAAATGAAAGATGACAAGTTGCAGAGAGTGTTAATTCAAGTAAAATTCCTAAACCAAACCACATAATTAGTTCTAATTAACATGGTTTACTGCTAAACCCATGATTACGAACCCCGACCGCAATCAGCTCCACAAGTTTCGCCAGCTTCGCATGCTTCCCGCACCAAGCTTCCACAAACTTCGCCTCCTTACCCTCCGCCTCCCTCTGCAGCGCGCTCAGCTCCTCCCTGTAATCCCTCTCTATTCTCCCCACCAACGCCACCTCCTCCTGTCTCAAGCACCTTATCTGCGCCTCGATTTCCTCCACCGCCTCCCTCTGCTTCCTTCCCTTCTCCGCCTCCAGCTGCTGCTCCAGCCTGCTCAGCCGCCATGTCGCCTCCTTCTTCTGCTGCATCCAGCTCTGCATCCCCTCCTCCACCTCTTTGCACAGCTGAATCAGAGTGCCCATCTGATAAAAACGGGTCGGGTCCGTGTCGGGAACCGGATCGGAGGGAGACAGCGTCAAGCTCACCGAAGGCGAAGGGGTGGTGGAGGACGTGGATGACGTTGTTGACGACGGGTTAATGTTCATCCACTGAGGCATAACGGAAGGTGCAGTTACGGACGTCGCGGTGGAGCCGACCGACCCGAGTGAAAGTACCGGGTCGGGTTCTTGCATCATGGTGGTGGACTGGAACGCAGCACCGTAAACCTTTGGCTGGACGACGTATTTCTCGGCGAAGGTTTCCAGTATGTGGTCGTAGGGACCCTTAACGGCCTTCTCCGGAGATCCAATTCCGGCGACCGCAATATTCATATCCGGTGGCAGCTGGGTCGACGACGACGATGTATTGCACAGAAGGTGTTTGTTCTTTTGCCTCTGAGACTGCAACTTGAGCTGCTTCTCCTTAAAGACCTCCCACCACTTGCCGAGGCGCTTAGGGGTGCGGCCGGGGAGCTCGGCGGCGATCTTCTTCCACTTGTTGCCGTGCTTTGCCTGGAGGGAGACGACGAGGGCCTGCTCCTCTGGGGTGAGCGAGCCCTTCTTCAGGCCGGGTTTCAGGTAGTTCTTCCACCGCTCCAGGCAGGACTTGGGGTCACGGAGGAGGGGCTTCCCCATCCGCGGGGAGACCAGGCTCCACTCTTTCGGCCCATATTGCTTCACGTAGGCTCGCAGCAAGGCGTCTTCTTCCGGTTGCCAGCGCTGCCGCTCCTTCATTTCATCGCCATGTCTTCCGCCGGAATTGAGAGAAATCGCAACCGCTGACGGAGGAGGAACTGATTCCAATTCCAATCCAACAAACCCAATTCTCAATTCCACTTCCCGTTCTTACTAAATAGTACGGATTTGGGAAATTATTAAGGATGGAATGGAGAAGGGGATATCTTTGTTTGTAATATATAGATGGGGATGGATACTTGATGCGTGGGGAATGAGCTTGAGGAGACGCGCCACTTCGTGGGGGGTGGTGGCATCAGTGAAAAGTGAAACGGTGGCAGTCGTATTTGCTGGTTTTAGGGCGCATTGAATGATAGTGGAGGATTTGCCCCGATGGGATTAGTCATTGGAGAGAGAGAGCAGGATCAGAAGGCCAGGAATCAGAGAGAAGGAGGCGGGTGAGTGACAGTGATTAGTCAGAGTGGTGGACAGGCGACTGGACTGGACTAGGGCAATACTGGACAGCAAAACTCCCTACCTCACAATTACTGTGCATGGATAGCAAAGATGCCGAGTGGAATTCAACCCCCAATCTTATCCATATATGTACTACTCTAGTAACTGTTCAATTACCATGTTGATGGGGAAAAATGCATATGCCTTGGTGTGGCCTAGACTTGTTGGTTGGTGGCTTCGTCTCAACGACAGCGGTGGAGTTAGAATTTTTACTATATAAGAGCGTAAAAAAAAAAAAAAAAAACTAGAATATGGTTAACTATGAGATTACAAACAAAGAAAAATTGATTACATTTCGACAAAATAATTTACAAGTATCCTCGGTGAGCTTTCATGTTTTGAAAACGTTAGATAATAAGTTCATAATCAATCCTGTTGAGTATTTCTAATCAACAAGCAATTATCCTTGCCGTACTAGTCCTTGTTTGGTGAACATTCAAAAAGGAGACGCATTAAATTAGACAACAATAAAATCGGCTATGAGACAATTCCAATCGTCTTCAGTCTAACCAGCTAATGGGCATGTCACTTGTTAATTAATCATATTGATGCTCAAACAAAAAGGTAATAAAAAAATTAGAGCACTGTGATTAAATTCTTGATAAGAGCATCTCTAAGGGACTAGCCAAATCACCGCGAACCATATTTGGTTGAAACTCCCCAAGTAATGCAAATGCACAAACACAAATGGTATGTGTAATGTGCATCAATGCACGTGTAATAATGAGAGTGTAATGTTGAAAGGGGTAATTGTTTGTGTTGTTGTGTCTTGTTCTTGTTTATAAAGACGAGACGCATCAACGCATTTATCGGATCTGTTTTTGGCTGCTTTTTCTCCGTCTTTTGTTTCTCGCTGTAGGTGTATAGGGTGGGGATTTCAGGATTCAAACTTTGGATTTATGTGCACCAGCATACTCATGCACATAAAAGATGGAAGGGAAATCCAGTTAGTTGCATCAAAGCATTCTATTCACGTGTCGAGCCCAATGCTCTTATCTCACCACTAAAAATTAAGTATGCATACTTTTAAAAGACGCGTTCGGTTATTGTGACGTTTTGTGTTAACGATATAATATTATGCATATAAATTTTTGTTTATATGAGTTTATATTATAATCACAAGACACCACAATGAGCAAGAGACATCACAATGACAATATACTTGTATCACATAAATCCTGATGTTGCTAAAGGTGTTTCACATCGAAGATGAAAGGTTAAGGAAATAGTTTAAATTTAAATGATCTCATGGTTTCTCGTCCTCATGGTTCAACATCACCTGTTATACAGTTTACTTATATTAGCATATGAATAATTCACAAATAATATGTACATATATCTAACTGTGATTCGTAGTAACGTATAAATTTCTACTTTTAAGTGAATTAGGCACGTAGGCAAGTATTTCACACATTTGGACCTGCTGTATATTTGCCACTACTTTACTTGCGACAACAGTTCCCCATTCTTTGAGGCCGATTTGGTTGGAGCCGAGTTTAAGGTAAAAAAAACAAAATGCGCATCCAGGGAATCGAACCCTGGTCAGTACCGTGGGAGGGTACTATGATACCACTACACCAGATGCGCTTGCTGGTGAAGATTTCATCACAAACTGATAAATATGTAAGCTTAATTCACGGCCATGTATTATCACGTCTAGAGTTTCAAAATATCTAATTGCTTACGAGTAATTTGAGTCGAATTCTGCACGAGTATAGAACCCAAGGTATACACAGTTAGAAGACAACTAATGTTAATCAGTTTATACGAATATTGATTTGTATTGAGTCATATATAGATTGATATGAACACGACACGAATATAAATGAGTTCCAAGTTTGATATATTTTTGTCCCTGATTGTTGGAAGCTGAATCGTTTCTAAAGGCCAACTCTTCACCATGCATTGTGGCATCCAAGTTTCAAAAGCTCGAGTTGCATAACCTTTCATGGTAGGGTTGGTAATCTGTACAACTTTTGTTCATTATCCTTTTGAATGTTGATAAATTCATAAGTTGACGCGAATACATGTCATACATTTCTTTTCATGAACATCTGTCAACTTCAATTGATTTATTGTATGAAATCTAGCAATATGTGACGGTATTGTGCGTGAAATTAATCAATCATCCATACGTCACATATTGTATTAATTGATGGAAAATGTTGTTTGGTTTCTTTTGCAGTAAAAGTTCAATAACTCAACGTGTACGAGATCAACGAGCGAAATCGTTCAAGCCCTGCATATCTCAGTTTAAGCCAGAAACCTGTGCATGCTCTCGGAGACCTTGTGCCCTTCACAAACAAACTAATTTTATTTTTATTTGGAAATTGGATTCACCAATATTCTCTAAAAACATATTTATTTGAAAATTAGATCACTGTTGTAGGCCTATTTGATTGAGCTATCCAAGGGAGGGTTTAGAGAAAGAGAGGGGCCCGGCAATATTGAGGGAGAAAAGAGAATGATTTAATTTTGAGGTGTGTTTGAGTCATCTCATTGTGTCTTTATTTATAGTAGTAAGATAGGAAAAAACCTTTCCTTTTAGGATTACAACTCTTAATAGGTAATCAACTCCTATTAGAAATATAAGATGCATTCCCATATCTACTAGGATTTACACAGTCAAATTCATATTCTAAATATGAATGCAACACTCCCCCTTGAGTGTGTAATTATTCAACAAACCATTGCATCAAATCTTCAGCAGATAAGGTAGAATAGTTGATGAAGTCATCGACACAACGGGTGAACGCGAGTCTTAAAATTTAAGGAAGTATGCATTTGTAGTAAAACTCACAAAACCTCGCTATAGTAAAACCCAAGGCGTGGGGAATACCCATAGACTAAGGAGAAAAGTGAGAAGTGTGCATAATGTCTAAAACAAACGTCAAACAAGACAAAGGTAGTGAACTCAACGGAGTATAATAATCCCAGGATGGGTGCCTCATCAAAACCTCGTTAGGTAGTAAAAACCGAATGGGAAAAATGCTCCTAATCGTAGGAAAAAGAGTACATTAAGATCAAGTAAGTATGCTTTAGGATACTCCCCCTGAGTTAGACATAATTTCTAAATAAGAGAACTATAAGCGATTCAACTCAGATAATTTACGCATACCGATTCCTTGGACGAGCTTCTGAAAAGTAGACTTGGGCAATGACTTAGTGAAGAGATCGGCCAAGTTGTTCTGGGAACGGATTTGCTTAACTTCAATGTTCTGATGCTGCTGCTACTGGTGTGAGTAAAGGAACTTGGGGTTATGTGCTTGGTGTTGTCTTCCTTGATGTTTCCCTTCTTTAACTGCTCGATACATGTTGCATTGTCTTCAAAGATCGTCGTAGGAAGGTTAACGACTGATGTAAGACCACTAGTGCTTCGAATATGTTCCATAACTGCTCTCAGCCAAAAACATTCACACGATGCTTCATGTAGGGCGAACATCTCATCATGGTTCAAAGAAGTCGCAACTAGCGTTTGCTTGGTAGACCTCCAATATATAGTGTGGTCTTCAATGGACCTAGCCTATTTGAGAACGTGCCCTATGTGGGTTAGACATATATCCAGCATCTGCATAACTAATAAGGTGAGAATCAATCCGAGGACCATAAAGGGCGACAACACTTAAAGATTCGCGAGTTTAGAACAAGCCCAAATCCGTTGTACCCTTGAGGTAGAGGAAAATGTCTTTAACATCATTCCAGTGTCTGCGTGTGGGCATATTGTTGTATCTTGCCAAAAGATTAACAACGAATGAGATGTCGGGTTTAATGCACTGAGCCAATTACAATAAAGCCCCAATTATACTTAGGTATGGAACTTTGGGTTCCAAAATCTCTTCCTCATCCTCATTTGGATGAAAGGGATCTCGTTTAGCATCTAGAGTTCGAACGACCATGGGTGTACTCGAAGGCTTCACTTTATCCTCATTAAAATGTCGCAACACATTTTGGGTGTAGTTCGATTTATGTACTAGGATTCCATCTGAACAATGCTCGATCTCCAGGTCGAGACATTATCGAGTTTTCCTAAGATCCTTCATCTCAAATTCCGATTTCAAATGCATAGCAATTTCCTCAAGCTCTGTAGGAGTTCCGATGAGGTTCATGTCGTCTACATAAACTGCAACGATTGCAAACCCATAATGTGACTTCTTTATGAACACGCATGGGCATAATTCATTGTTCACATAACCCTGACTTGTCAAATATTCACTTAGACAATTGCACCACATCTGCTCGGATTGTTTTAATTCGTAGAGTGACCTCCTCAACCTAATTGAGAGAATGTTTTGTGGTCTAGACCTATTTGAACCAGTCAATGGAAGTCCTTTTGGAACTTTATCCCCATAGAGATACATGGTTACCATGTCCATAAGCTACATATTTAGTTTTTCAGAAACTACCAAACTGATTAGGTAGCGGAACGTTATAACGTCTATTACAAGGGAATACATCTCCTCGTAATCAATCCCAAGGCGCTGAGAAAAGCCTTGTGCTACGAGGCGTGCTTTGTACCACACCATTTCATTCTTTTCATTATGCTTCCTCACGAAAACCAAATTGTAGCCAACGGGCTTC